TGTGTGTGTGTGTGTGTGTGTGTGTGTGTATGTATGTGTGTGTGTGTGTGTGAGAGAGAGAGAGAGAATATGTATGTGAGAGAGGATGTGTGAGTGTATCTGTGTGTGTGTGTGAGAGAGAGAGAGAGAGAAAATATGTGTGTGAGAGAGGATGTGTGAGTGTATCTGTGTGTGTGTGTGAGAGAGAGAGAGAGAGAAAATATGTGTGTGAGAGAGGATGTGTGAGTGTATCTGTGTGTGTGTGTGAGAGAGAGAGAGAGAGAAAATATGTGTGTGAGAGAGGATGTGTGAGTGTATCTGTGTGTGTGTGTGAGAGAGAGAGAGAGAGAAAATATGTGTGTGAGAGAGGATGTGTGAGTGTATCTGTGTGTGTGTGTGTGTGTGTGTGTGTATGCCACATATGAATGGGTACCTGTGAAAGCCAGAGGGGTGTTGGATCACCTGGAAGTGGAGCCATTGAGAGCTGCCCAACATGGGTGTGAGGAGCAGCAAGTGCTGTTAACTACTGAGCCATCTCTCCAGCCCCTTATTTTGTATTTGAGACAAAATGATACACATACATTTGCATACATATATATACACATGATACATTCATATTTTTCAGTTTTTCTTACTACATAAAGATAGCCTGTATGCGCTTTTTTTTTTTTTTTAAGAATTTCAGTTTATTCACAGGGTTATGCAACAGTCAGCACTAATTCCAGAGCCTTTTCATCACTTACTACTTCCTACCCTATCTCTTCATCATCCTTAGCAACTATTGAATGTACTGTCCTTGGATTTGCCTATTCTGGGTATTTCATGCAGATACATTTCATGCATGGTCTTTTGTGGCTGATTTCTTAGTGTAGTATTTCCAAGACTCACCTGTGTCGCTTTTAAGGCTGACTAATGCCATCAGATGGGCATACTGCATTGCATCCATGTGGTTTTGGCTACTGTGAATGATGCTTTTGTGAACCAGCATTTATGAATAGGTTTTGGTGTGGACATCTGGAAATTACCTAGGAGGATAATTGTATTGCCATATGGCACCTCTGCTTAACATTTTGAGAAATTCCTGAACTTGGACAGGTGAGATGGCTCAGCAGGTAAAAGTGCCTACGGTGCAAACCATTCCCAAAAGTTGTCTCTGATGACCTACACACACACACACACACACACAAGAAATTGCCAGACTTTTCCAAAGTACTTGTGCCATTTTATATTCCTCCTAGCAATGTCTGATGGTCCCAATTTCCACATCTTCAATGCAAAAAGAGATCTAGTTCCTTGAAGTAGAACTTCATTATAGTTTGGATTTGCATTTCCCTAATGGCTAATGATGGTGAGCATATTTTATTTTATCTTATTTTTGACTGTGAGGCAAGCACATTACATTGAACTGTATACCCCCAGACTTCACATCCTTTCATACGCCCCTTGTCAGTTCATATATTTTCTGTGGAGAAATGTCTGTTCAAATTCTTTGTTCTTTTAAAACTTTCTTGGAGGGGGGCATGTCTTTTTATCATTGAGCTGTAAGAATGTTTTTTATGCAATGTGAATACAAGTCTCCTACCAGAAGCCTGGATGCAAGTATTTTCTCCTAGTTTGTGTCTTTTTTTCTTTTCACTTTCTTTGTGGCTAAACCTCCAGTAAATGTGGAGTTGAAGTGGTGAGTGCGGACATCTGGCTGCTGATCTCAGGAAGAAGCACTCAGTCTCTCTCACCTTTAACTGCATTAGCAGTGGGGGCTTTATAGATGGGCTCTAACTTCGTGTGCTTTGATCATCAAAGTGTTGGGTTTTGCAAATGCATTTCTGCTTCTGTTGGGATGATTGTGTTTGCCTCTTTTATTAATTTACTGCTAATATATGTTCATCCATTGATTTTTCAGATATAGGACTCACATTCCTGGAATAAAGCCCACTTGATGATGCTGTGGAATTTTGTAATGTGAATGGCTAATGTTTTGGAAAATTTTGTTTTTTGTATTTCAGTTAGCTTTTCTTTATATTCATGTTAGGTTAATTATTGTTTTGTGCTATGTTAATACTGGTATTTATAGCTGTACATACACTTAAAAAAACTATTTGCACCCCATATGCATGTGTGTGTGTGTGTGTGTGTGTGTGTGTGTGTGTGTGCGCGCTCCTGTGTGCACTGGAGGCCAGAATATGTTCTCAGATGCTCCTCTTCTTGAGGCAGGATCTCCATCTCGATCTCTGTCTTTCTCCCTCCCTCCTTCCCTCCCTCCCTCCCTCCCGTCCACCTTCTCTCTGGACACACAGGCTGTGTTGGCCAGCAAGCCCCAGGGATCTGCCAGTTTCTGCCTCTTCAGTGCTTGTGGTTTCAAGCCCATGCTGTCCCACCTGGCCTTTTTTATTTGGATCCTGGGGTTTGAATTCAGGTGCTAGTGCTTGCAAGGCAACTGCTTCTCTGACAGCCATCCTCCCCATCCTCCCAGCCCTCCAGGAATTTTTTTTTAAAGCTTTATAACTTAGACTCTCAGCAGTTAGTTCTTCACATTGACAGTAGATTTTTGAACATGGTAATAGTGACATGGGTTACCACAGTGTAGAGCTTATTTGGTGAATCCTCTGCATGTTTTCTGGACACAGAGATAGGATATCGAACATTCTTTATTCTTTTGGTCAGCGCTTTAGTAGGCATCAGGGTGTGTATCTGGAATCCTCATCTCCTTGGCAAGTTTCTGGGTTTCTTTGAATATTGGAGGGTGTGCTCCTCAAAGCCCACTCTTGGATGTGCTTGTGAGTGTTCATGGCAGACCAGCTCTTTTTCTTGCCATCCATCCTGGGAGCCATTCTTCTGGGCCCTTATTGGAAAGTCCCACCCCCTTAAGCTTTTCACATGTTGTGCTTTCTTTTTACTTTATCCCAAAGAATTTTCTGATTTCCTGTTGTTTGTCCCTTTAATACTGGGAAATGAAGCTCACTTGTCATGGTCAAGCACTTTGTCCCTGGGCTACATCCATGGCCCTTTTTGTTTTGTTTTAGACAAGGTCTGGCTAAGTTGTCCAGGCTAGCCTTTAACTTGCTTCTTATACCTCGGCCTTCCAAGGAGCTGGGATTACACTGTGCCCCGCCACCACACCTTTATGTTCCTTTTGGTCTGTTAGTTATGTAGGAATGTACTGTTTAATTTCTATGTATTTGTAAAATTTTCAAAATTTCTTTTGTTAATAGATTTCTCATTTCATTCCATTGTGGATTTGAAGGGTGTTTATAGGATTTTAATCCTTTAAAACTTACTGACTTTTAAAAACTTAATACTCTTAACAAAATACCTGTGCTAGGCTACTTTTTGAAGAAAAGAGATTTATTTTTGCTCATGATTCTGGAGCATAAGGTCAAGGGGCCACATCTGGTGTTGGCTTTCCTGCTGGGGCATCCTAAGGTGGTACAAGGTTTCATAAAACAAGAGACAGGGAGTATGTACATGTCTCTCTCTCTCTCTGTTGGTCTCTTATGAAGCTACCTGGTTTCAATCCTAGAGGTCTCCCCTAATGATTTTAATCCTAATAACTCAGAGGTCCCACCTCTGAACACCATTGTCAAATCAAGTTTTTACCTTAATTCCTTGTAGTGGGGATTCCATTTCAACATAGGAAGCCTTGCAGCACACTTAAACCATGTCTAAACCATAACGTTGAGGGTCATTTTATGGCCTGGCTTAGGTCTTGTCAAAATAGTGTTCTATGGGCCCTTGAGAAGAATGTGTATTCTGCTGTCGTGAGTAGGGTATTGTATTGATGTTTGTTAGAACCAGTTGCTTTACAGTGTTACTCAGATCCATTTCTTTGCTGGTTATGGTGGGTTTAAATTCTTTTTCAGTTATTTATTTATTTATTTATTTAGATAGAGGCTATGCATGCGTGCGTGCATGGTGCACATGTGGAGGTCAGAGAACAGCTTGTGAGGGTAGGTTCTTGCCTTCCATATGGGACATGTGGATCAAATTTAGGTCTTCAGACTGGGGGACAAGTGTCTTTACCCACTGAACCCTCTTACTGGTCCTGATGCATTTCTTTTGTTTTAAATTATTTTTGTTTTATGTGTATGAATGTTTTGCCTGCATGTTTGTAAGTGCACCCATGCATACAGTGCCCATGAGGCCAGAAGAGGACGTCAGATTTCCTGGGACTGGAGTTTACAGACAGATTTTAGCTGCCATGTGGGCACTGGGAACCAAACCTGGGTCCTCAGCAAAAACAGCCAGTGCTCTTAACTGCTGAGCCATCTCCAGCCCCTATTTTAAGATATTTAAAAATTATTT